AAAAAAAAAAAAAAAAAAAAAAAAAAAAAAATTAAAAAAAAAAAAAAAAAAGAAATGAATTAAACAAAATTGAGACGCTCCTTACAAGTCTGGATAAGAAGGTGGAGAATGCAATTGAGAAAGAACGAAAAGGGACAATTCTGACAGCAATCTCCCTACTTTTAAGTTGTATACGTGCTGTTGCTGCGTCGATTCTACACGTGTTTACACATATCCGTGTTAATAGGAACATGGTGAAAAATATACACATGCTAAAAATTCTCCCAAGTATTTATGAACTACTACCACGATCAGCATGTTTTCCTTTTTTGAGACAAGGTTTCTCTTTGTAACAGCCTTGGCTGTCCTGGAACTTGCTTTGTAGGCCAGGCTGCCCTCGAACTCACAGAGATCCTCCTGCCTCTGCCTCCCAAGTGCTGGGATTAAAGGCGTGCGTCACTACACCTGTTCTGTTTTTGTTTTTTTTTTTTTAAATGTGCCCTAGGCATGAAACAGCTTTGGCCACCAAGGCAGGCATCAAGCTAGGATGAACAAAGGACTGTCATCTGCTCTGCCCCTGACTGATATAAGAACAACACCACCAAGGTGTCTCTTTGCCCATTGCCAGGGGGTGGTCTACTCAACTTATGAGTGATTATATATAATGTACTTTAGATTAGATATTGTACCCAACTTCCAACAGAGCAGGTACCAAGGATGTCAGTAATAGACATTTTTATAATACACAATGTGTACTGCTATTCACTACATCACAATACAAACTCCCTAAAAAGGAGTAAAATATCCACCACTTACTTGTCCATGTCTGCCATCTTGTAAGAACTCCAAATATCTAAAAGAGAAAAGAATCAGCATTAAAAACAAACATGATTTACTTAAAGCTAAGAAAATCCCTATGAATCAATAAAACACTTAATCTAGTAATTGTATATTCTCTTTAAAATAGCATGTGTTAAGAAAAAAAAAAATCATGACACCTTTAATCCCAGCACTCAGGGAGGCAGAGGCAGTAGATCTCTGTGAGTTCAAGGCCAACTTGATCTACAAAGTGAGTTCTAGGACAGCCAGGACTATTACACAGAGAAACCCTGTCTAACACCTCCATGCTCCCCCCCCAAAAAAACCATGGAACACACAAAGACTCTTATAAAAACAAAAGCACTGGCCTCGAACTCAGATATCCACCTGCCTCTGCTTCCTGGGTGTTGGGATTAAAGGAGTATGGGGACCACCACCACCAGGTGAGTTTCTTGTTTTCTTTTGAAGATAGGATTTCATCATTAACCCTGGACAGTCTGAACTCACTACATAGACCAGGCTAGCCTCAATACAGAGATCCATCTGTCTCTGCTTCCCCAGGACTGGTACTAGAGAAATCCATTTGTATTTTAATCCACTTTTTTAACAGTATTTTAAAGTGACAAATGACATCAATATTTATTGTGCGTGCACCATGGTATTTGTGGAGGTCAGAGGACAACTTAAAACTTTACACAGTAAGCCATCACTATTATTTTTTAACTCAAATTCATTTCAAAGCAAAACTTTGCTTAACTACTGCCCTTTCTATGACTCTAGAAGTCTCTGAAAAGCTTAATATTTCTTGCATCTTTCAGCTATTTTATGAAAACTGGTCCCAGTACTTTGGAACGGCTAATGCAGGAGGAGGATTACTAAGTGATGGAGGCCAGCCTGGACTAAGTAGAAGACTGCCTAAAAACCTATTTCTTATGGCCATCCTCTTGGCATCTGGAGGCTTCTGAAGATGCCCACTGGACCAGGGTTTGGATGAGGAAGGAAGGCAGCAACTGAAACCCAACACTACAGCAGCTTAAACAGCAGAGTTGAGTTCTCAGTCACGTGACCATCAGGAAGGTGGCTCACATCAGCAGGGCAGCCTAGCTCTGTGGGACCACTCAGAAGCCTTCCATCGTGTATACTATACCACCAGCCTTTGGAACACGGTTTCCCTGCATTGTTGAAGACTCAGCCACCAAAACACCTGCACAATATCACCAGAAAAGAAACGTGAGCTGTGGTGATACTGTGTTCCCCAAAATATTGTGCACCCTAATAAACTTATCTAGGGTCAGAGAGCAGAACAGCCACTAGATGTAGGCCAGAATATGGTGGCACACACGCCTTTAATTCTATCACTTGGGAGGCAGAGATCCATCTGGATCTCTGTGAGTTCAAGGACACACTGGTGACTCACGCCTTTAATCCCAGGAAGTGATGGCAGAAAGCAGAAAGGTATGTAAGGCATGAAAACCAGGAACTAGAGGGGGTTAAGCTTTTAGGCTTTGGAGCAGCACAGTTCAGCTGAGAGGCATCCCGTCAGAGGAAACAGGATCAGCTGAGCAACTGGCGAGGTGAGGTGGCTGTGGCCTGTTCTGTTTCTCTGATCTTCCAGCGTTCGCCCCAATACCTTGCTCTGGGTTTGTTTTATTAATAAGAACTTTTAAGATTCATGCTAGTGAGCACTGGAGACTGCACTGGTAATGCCTTAAAACTGAAGCCTAGAAACAGCACTTGTGATTTCTGCTCACACTGTATTGGCAAGAACTTGGCAACCCACACCTCACTGGCTGGAGTATAGTGCGAGTACACGTGTCTGAGTGTGCAGAGAAAGCTGAAGAGGGCATCTGCAGTTACACATGTTCCCGGGTGCTACAGGAATCTGAACTCATGGCCCTCAACACTGAGCAACAGGTATCATCTCTCCAGCCCTCCCATTTGCTTTACACAGTACATAGTACTGGAATTGTCTCCAGCAGCAGCCAGTGTTTATAAAATGTTTAGTAAGCAATTGTGAATACTAATTTAAAATTATGAACAACACCAATCCTTAATCTCTAATGAGATATATCTGGGATTATATGCTCTGCCTATGAAAGCAAAGATTCTTTCAATGCAGGGGAAACCGGGGTGAACACATGTTCTTAAATCTGGATTAAGTTACTTTTCCTAGAAAGAAATTTGGCCACAAGAGTAAAAAGCCTTGAATGCACACTACACTCAACCACACTCCCAGTTCCCAAAATAAGACCTTTGTACAAAAGCACCTAGGAAGCATAACAGTTCCATATAACAAGGGAGACAATAGGGACAAGTGAGAATTTCCTTGAAACAAAACTGGGTTTCACCCGGTAGCCTAGGCTGGCCTAGAACTAGGCACCACAGGAAGGAGACTCTCCAACTCTTGGTAATCTTACCTCAGACTCTTGAATGCTAGGATAGCAAGCACGAACCCACTAATTGAGAACACTTTTCATTCTGTATTCTTTTGTTTTACTATATGCACCAGCACGATTGAATAACATCTTAGAACTCGCTGGGTTAACGAAATACCTCATCTAGTTAACCCTGCAACTGTAAGAATAAATGTACAGGCATAACTTAACCTGTACCTGACATCCAGAAAATTCTCAAAGTGTTTTAACAAGCCATTCTCAATTAGTATGGGGTCAATGTTTCTGCAACATACTAGGTTAGGATGATGGAACAGTTAAGCGCATGCTCCACAAGGGGTGCTGTGATGGTTGATTGTTAACTTGGCAGGATCTGGACTCATCTAAGGTCAAGTCTCTCAGCATGCGTGTGACATTAACTGAAGCGCAGGGGATGGGGGGGCCTTCCTAACTGTGCACAGGCCCAGCCTACAGGCTAGGTAGGGTCCCACACTTAGGGAAGTGACGGGAATACTAGCCTTCGTCTCCGACCAGCTGACTCAAGCCCCTGCCACCCATCATGACTTCCTCACCATAATGTGAGCGAAAGAAACTCTTGCCTAAGATGCTTCTTGATGAGCATTTTGTCAGAGCAACAAAGAGTACCTCGGGTATATATAGGAACTCAAACAACTTTTCTAGAAATCTAAGTTAGAAAAGGAGGGGTTGTTCTCAGGACTCCATGGCTGGATTCTAAACCGACATACCCAATAAACCCCAAGTATCAGCAGTCTAAACAGGACCCCAGCTTGTACAGCAGGAGGTCCATGAGAGCACACTGAGAAGCACAACCTTGTTAACGGTGGCGTCATGTGTACTGGAACAGCCTCTCTCGGCCAGGGAGACAGCTTAGTCAGGAGAGTGACTGCTGCGCAGAAGACCCGAGTCGGATCCCCAAACCACAGAGCCGGACATGACAGGACTGAAAGCAGTCCTAGCTGAGGGACACGGACACAGGCGGACCCCGGGGGCCTGGCCATTCATCCTAAACTCATCAGCAAGCCTGAGGCCCAGTCAGAGATCTCGGGTCCACACTCAGAAAAACAGTCTTCTTTTTCTTGGAATGAAAAACTTCCATTCCAGATTAGTGACAGCAGACTAAGCAGGTCAACTCTTGAAAATCAAAAGTACAGAATAAAATTTGTTTAACAATTGTAAAAGCACAGAAACCCTAGCAGAAGCATTAAGAATTAAGAATCCTTGGTCCAAAACTGAAGTCAAAAGGAAGCTATTTCTGCCCTAAGGTCAACCGCCATTATCAAATTAAAAAAGAAAAATGTTCATTTACTGGAGAAGAGGGTTGGTACAAATATGGAGACCACTCATGGTCCCAGTGGTCTTAAGAGCTTTAGCTCTGAGGCATCTCAATAGCTCCCTGTGTTATATGAAATAGCCCCAAAGAGCACTGACCAGCTAAGAATTCAGTATGTAGCCAAGGATGGCCCTGAATCTTTATCCTCCCCCTTTAAATGGGGTTACATGTGTGTGTACCACCTAGCCACCTGAAATTTAGTTTTAATAACCTGGCTAGTCAAAATCCTAGGCACACTGGGGGAAGTAACTCGGTAGTAGACAAGTGCCTAGGATGCGCAACGCCTTGACTTCAATCCGCAGCCCCATAAAAAAGAAAAAAAAAAATTGCAGACCCATCCAACCTTTACAGCAATCCCCCCAAATTTAGCAGGAACTCCAAATGCTACACCCTCAGAATAAACCACTTCTCCTGGACTAACAGCCCAAAGGAATCTCTTGTGTTGTCCCCTAAATGCCTAAGCTCCAGCTTAGCTTAGTGGACCCTCGTGTGTTCACAGGCACTTGTGCAGATCAAAAATAAGTGAAGGACACCTTCATCCTACCCCTCAAATAATTCGTAAAAGCAAGAAACTGGTCCTACACTCTAAAAGCTTAAATATTACCACATGGACAAAGGCCAGAAGGACTAAGTCCAAGATGAAAGAACTGGGCTCTAGGGGTACAACTTAATGGTAGAGCATTACTCAGCGTGCAGAAAGGTCTGCGTTGAATCTTAGGGAGGAAGAGGCAGAAGGAAGAGAACCATCTACAAGAGATAAAGATATCGAATGCAGGAAATAACTTCCAGAACACAAATTACAAACTGACATCAAGCGGCTGGCTAAACAATAAATTCGGTTCAACTGAAGAGTGGATTAGGTTAAAAGGAAGTTGGAAGCCACAGTGCAAGCATGTCAGGACCGAAAGAAAACATGCAAGATTCAGGATGTAACAAAATCTGAGGCCGGACACACACTCTAGAAGTATATAGGCTGTAACATTAAAAAATCAACTACTGGGGTTGGGGATTTAGCTCAGTGGTAGAGCACTTTCCTAGCAAGCACAAGGCCCTGGGTTCAGTCCTCAGCTCTGGAAAATAAATAAATAAATAAATAAATAAATAAATAAATAAATAAATAAATAAATAAATAAATAAATAAATGAAATCAACTACTAAGAAATCTCTGGAAATGATCAAAGACACCAATCCAGATAAAAAGAACCCTATAAATCCTCCTTTCCTACTGAAGAACCCAAAACAAAGCATGCAAAGATACAGCAGTAAAAAGACAAACTATTGCCATGGGTATAGTGGTACACACGTTTGATCCCAGCACTTGAGTGTATTAACCATAATCTTAGACCACACGCAACCAAAACAGCCTTTAAAAATGAAGTTAAATGTCAGCAAAGCAGATAACTGAAGGCAAAAACAAAAACAAAAACCTCCAAGCAATCTCACTAGAATATTCTATTACATATACCCTTAACTAGAAAAGAAAGTGACTCCAGGTTGACAGTCTAAGAAAGATGCAGGGCAAAAAGATCATGTATGTAGTACTAATGTTCTTTGTTTATTTTTACATGTGGTACCACTCACTATATTGCTCAAGATGTGCTCAAACTGCTGCGCTCAAGTGATCCCCCGGCCTCAGATACCCCAGTGCTGAACTTCAGGCCTATGTATGCCACCATATCCAGCTGTATTTCCACCATCTTCAGAGCAGTAAAACAAAAGACAATCCTCACCAAACTGTATTACCAAACTGTACTACCATGAGGGGTAAAAAACTTCAAGACCATTATCAGATATAGAAGGGTCAATGTGTAATCCAATATTGCATAGACCATCTCAATGGGAAAAGATGCTGGTTTTTCATTTTCCATAAGTCAATTTATTAACCTGAATTGATGTAAACTCTCCCACAGAAGTGGGGGAGGGAGGCCCTGACGACACACACACAAAAAAACCCTTATCATTCTATGGTCTTAGATATACCTAGCAGCCAGATATCCAAGCATCTGTTACCAACTTCTTACCTTCTGGTGGGTTATTTTGGAAAAATCCCCATGATATCAATCAGCAGACAAATATTTCATTACGGATCTCTGTGGGTTCCAGGCCAGCCTGGGCTACCAAGTGAGCTCCAGGAAAATAGTGACTTTGGAAGCAGGCCGTCACTTTAAAATGACTGGACTTTTCTCCCTCTCAGACTTCACCCCATCAATTTCAGAAGTGGCTCTTCTGGAGTACTCATCAGGCCAGGGCACAGCACCAAATGGGCTCCAACTCAACTTCGTTTCAAGAGCATCTTTTTTTTTTTTTAACACTCCCTTTTTCATTCCAGTGATACTGAGTGAAGTCAGAACGGGCCGGGCCATGTATTGAACTCCCAAGCAGAATGGACTACTGGAGAACACTACCTTTCTATCCAGATCTCCACGGGTAGAGTAACAGCAGATGTACATGTACCAGGGCCTGGCATCCGGCAAAACCCCTCACTTCCTAGTAACAATTTATCTGTATTCAACTGTGTTTTATGTGTATGTGACAAACACAGCTTACACATGCAAAGACAGGGCTTCTAAGCAGTCACTACTTAGTTACACGCAAGCATCCATGTTGGAACAAAATCCCCGACTGTACTGTAGCTTTTCCCCACAGTAAATCTAGGGCCGTGCTTTTGAATTCCACACTGATGTCCAGCACTTCAAGTCAGACAACATCCTTAGCAACCCAGGTGGTGGTGACTCAGGCCTTTAATCCCAGCACTCGGGAGGCAGAGGCGGGAGACTATGAGTTCGAGGCCAGCCTGGGCTACAGGATGAGTTCCTGGACAGCCAGGGCTACAGAGAAACCCACCAATAAAGGGGCTGAAGAGATGGCTCAATGCTTAAGAGTGCCTGTTTTCCCTGCAGAAACCAGGAACCCACCTGGCAGCTCATTCTAGGATCTGACACCATCTTCTAACCTTTACAGGTACCAGGCACACACACGGTGCACAGACATACATACACGTGGACAAGACAGTCATACATATAAAATTAAAAAACAACCTCATCACTGCAAAACCCTAAAAAAGCCTTCTATCACGCTAGTTAAAATGTTAGTACTACCACCTAATCCATATACAGTAAGATAGCTTCAAAAGAGAAAGCTAGTGCTACCTGGCAGCATTAAATAAATGAATGAATGAATGAATGATGCGTGTGGAATTTAAAAACTGCCACGCCTTTCATCTCAGCATTCCACAGGCAGGAGGTGGATCTGAGTTTAAGGGCAGCCTCCTCTACAAAACAGAGCTTTTAAGAAGCCTCAGTAATCACTGACTCGTATTTGTTCCCCCTGGAGTATCTTTCTTTAATGTTTTGTAACCTTTATTTCTATGTGAATGGGTGTTCTACCTACATGTATGTCTGTACATCATGTGTGTGCATGTTGGATCCCCTAGGACCAGAGTAAGACAGCTGTGAGCTGCCATGTGAATGCATATGGTTATGATAGGAATTGAACCCAGGTCCTCTGGAAGAGCGGCCAGGTCACCAGCCCCTGGAGTATTCTCTTTATTCTATATTCCTTTACCAGAGTAAATAAATAGATAAATAAGTAAATAAGAGCTTTTCAAGTTTAAAAAAAAAAATGGTCCAAATCCATTCTTAGCAATGAAAGGCAGAGTGACTATCCTAAGGTACGGCAGTTACTTCTTACAAACGCAGCAGCATGGTCCAGTGGTCTGTGATATTCATGAACTACAGACAGGGGTGAATGAAGCAGCTGTGCCCACCACCTCACCTCCAGGAAGTGCAACAAGAACTTGTTACTCCTCAGCTGAAAATAGTCTGAAATGTTTCATCAAGTCTAACATTCTAACAGACCCTTTTCTGGAAAGCAACTCGTCATTGCCTTAAGCTTTCCCAACTCACTTCAGTCCGCAGGGCTTAACCCTCCATACACAGACCAATATGCTCATGGTATGAGATATGGGTCAGAAGAGACTGAATTTTAGAATATGAATAGAAGGATCACTCATTTCCAGAATTAAATGAAGACTCTAATACTTTTGAATTTATAACCCAACAAAATAAGCAATGTAGTTTGATGCTTTCAGATCTTTTTAGTCACATTCTGCCTCTTTTACTCACCCTTTCCTGTACTGTCATAGGTCACCTGAGGCCAATATTAGAAAGTAAATAATCAAACTATAGAGTTTTAGTCACCCTGGCTCAGCCGAGAGTGGGGTTTTGTTTGTTTTTTTGTTTTTTGAATCTCATGAGGACAGGTCAGGTGCCACACTCAGATTTAAACTACTGTCAATTATAGGCTCCAAGACTAAAAGCAAAAAACACAAAAACCAAACAGGTATTCTGCAACAGATGAAACCGACAAGCTTTTTTTTCTCGGTAGCCTGAGTAGCCTTGAACTTTTATTTTTAATAATCTAAAGGCTGACTTGAAAAGAACATCTATTAGTTAAGTCAAGATTTTATGACAGATGTCTAAGTCCCTGCTAATGCTAAGTTAAACCCTCCAAATCCAGATTTGGAATTAAAGTAGTTGTATAGTTTAAATCTGGGATGTGCACTTCAACTGTAAACAAGCTGGAGACAAGAATTCCAAGACCACTTATCTACAGTTAGTTTTAAATAAATTACCCCTAACACAACCAAAGTACTTCTTTGGATTGGTTTGAAAAGATGTTTTGATGGCAACACTTTTCAAAAATAACCCTTGTGTTGGCTCTCCTGAAACCAGGTTAGTATTTTGGGTCTCCAAAACGTTGTTGTCTTTTCAGAATTTAGACAGTCGATGTCTTGAGATAGGGAGTCCCTGAAGACAGCCTGTGTGTGCCTGGTTCACCGTTCCATTCTGGAAGTCTAGCCCTCCCGACTGGACCTGTCTCCTCCCTTCACGGCCACTGAGATCTCTACAGAAATGTGGCGCACAGAGCTCACTCAGTATACACTAACTAGTTAATGCCTTGCTCCATCTCATACTCCATCCACTTCATCCCTAGTGAGAATTCCGGATAGTTCCGGAAGAGAAAACTACGTTGTTGGTCTATCAGAATCGAAACCCCCCCCCAAGCACCACCCCCCACCCGCTCCCCGCCCTGAGCCACCCCCCAACACGCCTTATTTTCATTTTAGAACCCCTGGGAGGTTTAAAGAGACTTTTAAGATCAAGTTCTCTCCACACCAATAAGGCCAAGGTACCCAGCGAAGAAGCTCTAACTGTACCTGCGAGACACAAAACAATCTCTTGTTAAAAAAAAAAAAAAAAAAAA